AGAACTTCTCTTCACCAGAAGCCATACTAATTTTTCCTCAGCAAGAGCTTGTTCTTCTATATGTTTACTATAAATTCTACTTTCAATAATACTTCCCATCAATTTATCTGGAACAGACATTAGCCCAATCATGGGCCTTTATTTTTTATTTTTTTTTGCTTCCTCACAGAAGCAACTTTTAGAACTGGTGTGACATTGGCAACCTTCCTATTCTTTAGGAAAGAGGTCTTAACAACAAACTGCATAATTTTGTTAAACAGTAAACAATTCCATGTTTGGAACTGACAGGCCAATTTCTAAACCTTTACAAAAGGCTTTTATGACAAATACGTTCAATTACAAAATGCTGACCTGGGTCAGATTTTTTTCAGCTATATTCAGAGAGAGATCAGGAAATTCAAAGAAAACCTGTAAGCACTCTGTTCTCTCACAGCAAGAATCAAACGGGTAAAACCACTATCAAAGTGGCAGCTGAGGTCCTCAACAAGGCTTTACTCAAGGCCCCGCAGAGAGTGGAACAGAAGTCCCAGCAGGAGATACAAGACTTATATAGACACCAGACATAGGCATGGTGAAGGCCAAGGGCAAACTCTGAATGTCAATTTAAAAAGTCAAGCCACAGCCAAAACAGCCAACAAGAACATCTTAAGATGTTATATACGCTGATTAAATATTCAAAAATTAAAAATAAGGACTCAAATATATGTCTTTCTAATTCCCTTTACAAACATATTTAAGAACACAAACATTCTGTTATGCACAGTTAACCCTGATTAAAACCCCCCTACATGCTCAAGTGACAGTGTACTAGTCCAAAGTTGGCACCATTAAAAACCACCACCAGTTCAGAAACTGATCAATAGCAGGTTGGTCACAAGATTCAGTACTCTTAAAATGTGACCTTTTAAATAAAATTACATTTTTCAGAATTGGGATGCAACTGTAGCAGGACCCAAAGAAAACCGAAGCTCAAATGATACAAAAAAAAGGGGGGGGCAAATCTAATTATTTAAATCCAGATCTGTATACATCACATTGGAATTGGGAGTTAGAAGATGCTCAGGCCTTACCATGTTCATGGCTTATCTCTACTGCAGACTCTCATTTTTCTTCAGCAAAGCTACCATACCAAAAGTGAGCCCATATAGGAAAAAGTGGGTGTTTGGGGGGACAACTTGCATGCTGGCCCCCACATTCTCTACCTGTGCAGCCCATTCACCCTTTATTTGGAACTCCTGCTTTATGAGTGATTGGGGTAGATACAGGTTTAAACACATGCTGGTGTAGTTTGTAACTTGTTTTTTTTCTGTAGGTCAAACAGAGTTGCAGTTTTAAAAAGGAAAATGCTAGCCGTGTCAGTTTTAATCTGCTGAATTAAGCCACTGCATCTTCCACCTATACACAAGATGACAATACAGCTTGGCCACAAAAATTAAGCTAATTTTAAACACTTTGCTTGAAATAACTACAACTAGTGTGGCAAGATAGATTAATGCTCAAGCCAGGAAGGAGTAGCCAAAAACAAAGATACATTAAAAATATGCCCCAACAGAAACATTGTTGACAGGGATCCTAACATCTATTAAAATACAGCAGTCTGTATTTAAAAAAGAAGAAGCACTACACAACCTAAAACAACGTTTTCGAAACAAAATAACTGAAGTAGATGGGATAGTCTGGCATCCAGGGACACAATCCTCCAATGAGTGTGCCATTGGGGATATTGCCAGAGAAGCGAGGAAGAGAAACTTAAAATTGTTCAGCTGAGTGCTGGGGAAGCAGGAAACCCTGCAAGCAAGGATTCAAGAAGGTCAGACTGGCATGGTGCAGGAAGTTAGGCACAGAAGCGAAAGAATTCAGAGAGGCGACAGATACAGGAAATAAGATGGCACAGCTTTCAGAAGCTGAGAATAAATGTCAGGAGCTGAAACCGGGTGTTTCTAAACAAATGAGAGTCCTAGTCATGCATTACTTGTGTGTAGGACACTTGCGTTCTCAAACAAGAGCAGGCTGGCTCTTCATGCCCCTTCAGGGTCACACTTAACATCCTTCTTTGCAGTGTTAGTTTTACCCTCCAATGGTAACATTTAACACCTGTTCAGAGACAAACAACGTTCTTTCCTCCTTCAAAAGCCTACATTAACAGAACAGCAAATTTAAAGAGATTTTGATCACAGGCTATACAGCCCAACATTATATTCCATTTAACGTACAGAAATTAGAGCCAATCTACATATTTGGAAATATTGTATGGCACGGAGCTTCCTAAGTTACAATATCTCAGGCTGCAAGTTAGGGACTCCAATGCATAAAAACTGTCCCAAGAATTTCCAAGAATGACGAATATAAGGGCTAGAGCATTCTCCCTGGCAAGCTTTCTACACTTGGGAAAAGGGAATATGCTATGAGGGAACGTTAAATAATGTGGTCTCCAATCTACAAAATGAAATGGTGCTGTTTATGATGGACTGCACCGTTCAGAATTTCTGAATGTATAGAGACGAAAGAATTGATTTATGAAGACTAGTAGTGCCTAAGTGAAATCATGGCTTTGACAAAGTAAGCCCCTACAAACTGGTAAAATTTAGAAGACGTGTAACAGCAGTGTAAAACATCTGTATGTATTAGACGTAAACAGTTATTCATCTATGGAAATCTAGGTTCCAAGAAACTGCCAGGAATTACTTCTTGAAATACATTTTCATGTCTGTATAAGAGACTCTATTTGGCCTCTGTTCCTGATTTTTCATTCCACCAAACAGTGTGCTAATACGGCCAGGGGATACTTCCTAAAACTAAACACAGCTCAGGACTGCATGGATTACAAGCCCAAGAACGTTAGCCATGGCTGGCTAAGTCAGGAATGACTGGTAAAAGACAAAGCAGCAGCTTGGACCATAATCAGACCATGTAAAATTATAAACTGATATGCAAAAGAAATTGGGGAGTAAAGTCTACAAAGTCCTCATTTAAGCTTGTTAAAATTCACCTGGACACTTTCTAACACAGAGCAGTTGCTGATTGGGTCCAAAATGTATTTCCTGCTTGGCTCTACCCTTCTGTTTCAGCCTCTTATCCTACTTCACAGGAATTAGTCTGTAACAATGCAAACACTTCATATTCTGTATCTCTAAACAGGCGCGTTTGGGCCTTTAAACCTCTCTTAACCGATTCCCTAAAGCACAGTGAGACAGATACCTGACATGAATTGGTGTCTGAATACCAACAAAAAAATAGGAGAATCTACCAGTTTCTGTTTTAACAGATAAAGCAAAGTCTGCTGATCGCAGTGTCATGAATAGGAGAGCAGCAGATTTAAAATAGGCTCAGGAACCATGGGGCCATTAGAGTAATTGTGGTCAGCAACACACACAGAAATGAAATATGTTTACTTAACGGACATGCACTGTACAGTGAGGAGAAATAAGTGAAAACCATTCGTATGTGCAAATTATGTATTGGCTTTATAGCAGTATGGTGGTAATGTAAGCACTGGCCTAGGTTTTGAATACCTTTTGGACAGCACATACAGGCTGCTCAGAAATGTATCATACAATTTTCAATGACAAAATTTCATTGACAAAAAGCATGCCAATACACATACTGGAGTATTCGCTAATCTCTTAAGAGAGGGGTGAGGAACCTGGATGCATTCACCCATGGGGTTAATTTGTGTTTTGTTTTATTGTGTGCCTTTTATACTGCAGGACCTGCATACTCCCATGGCATTCTAAATTTCATTCACACCAGTGGGAACTGCAGTCTGAAATGAAAGTTAAAAACCAGGATCCCACCTCTGAGTTGATAAGCAGAATAATTTATCCTGCGGTGTGTGTAATGCTCCATAAGCAGCTTTCCTAATGGAAAGCTACTTGTGAAACATCACCTACCCAACCTCCAGCCCAGGACTGATCCAACAAGGTGGGGATGATGCTCCACAAACAGCTTTCTTTGAGGAAAGCCTTTTGCATAGCCTCACCTAGAACCTGCAGGATCACAACTGTTATGGGGAGTGGGTGATCCTGGGGGTGTGAGGTTCCACAACTAGCTTTCCTTAAGGAAATCCAGTTGTGGAGCCTCTCCTGGACTCCGCAGGATCACTTGTTAAGGGCAGCGGCAGGGGGGAATTACCTGGACCCTGCAGGACCACAGTTGTTATGGGGAGTAGGCAATTGGGGTGGGGGTGGTGCTGAAGCTCCACAGTGGCGCTTTTTTTTTTTTTAAGGAAAGCAACTGGTTGCATCACACACACCAGGATCCACCCATCTGCTCATCAGCTCTTGAGTAGAGGGGTGATGCTGTAGTATGAGCCTCTACTGGACCCTGCAAGATCGCTTGTTGAGGGGTAAGGCCAATGGCATGGGGTGTGAGGCTCTGCAACAGGTGACTAAACTGCATTGAACTACATTAATAAACTGCATTGTGAATGAAGTCTCTGTGAGCCGCCATATGTTGTTGGTAGTGCTATTTTTATAAAAAGAGGTGCTGGAACTCACCATGGACGCCTCCCTTGTTCTCTTATAATGGCAATGGCGCTCACCTGAGAGGCGCTGGAACTGAGTTCCAGTGAGTTCCAGCTGGTTGTTGGGTTTCTACTTCCAAGAGCCTCAACCAGCATAGTAAATGGTCATGGACAACTGGAGTCTATAATACCTGGAGCTCATCAGGTTCCCCTTCCCTGTCCCAAGTCAAATCATTTCCCCTCCGTGTTGTATATGTGATGGCATTGCCAAACAGCAATTCAGAGCTTCTCCATCTACAGATATGATCAACAGTGAGGTGCACAAATGTTTTGAAAGCAGGAAATCTCTCATTTCAATTTCCTTCAAATACTTAATCTTTTCCTTTGGGGAAGTAACTTGTATTTTGTTGTAATGATTTCTATTTGCTTCTGGAGCACGACTCGTGCTCTTCAATTATTTTTAGCTGATTGTGTAATTATTAGCGGGAATGGCTTTTGGTTATTCTGTGTTCAGTTTACTTATAAGGTTTCAGCTTACCTTCGGGTGAAGAGCCTGGCTTGTGAGAGTATGCAGAGCTCTTCTTGCTGCTTCCACTGTTGACAGACAAGCTGGATTGAATTTTTCTGTGCATTTTTTGGGAAACAGGTGCCGAGAACTTTCTGCTATCTGGTGCCCCACACTTGACTCCATTGTGCATCCCACTTGCGTTACTCAGCCTGGTATGGCCATTTTGTATTTGTATTTTGCCTGTTTCTTCCTTACACTTTTCCAGTGGTGAAGCATTTGGTTGTGGCAAACGCTGAGGTTGTGCTTTAAAAAGAACAAGAAAAAGAGACAGTGGTTTAACACATATCTATGGAGAAGAAATTCTTTCCTTTCCTTTTTGAGATCCACACAAACACACACTGAAGGCCTGGGAAACCTTAGGGCATTATTTTTATGTTGTCTTCAGCTTCAGTGTCATTTCCAAGGATTAAGCTCGAAAGTCAAGGGCAAATGGAAGATGTATGGACTCAAGGACCAAGCCAGAGGAACTTGGGAGGTGCGTGAAAAGGACACCCTAAATTTTTCCCTGAAAAAAACCACACACCACAAAAGCAATAAGCAATGGACCAGGTTAACCCTCTCCTGCAACATTTTCCCAATATACCACTGTTTACCCAAAATTACCATATTTGCATACATATATAGGTGTAGGTGTGTGTGTGTGTGTGTGTGTCCCCCAGTGAAACAAGTATCATGGGGGAACAGGGGGAGGAATTTAGATCAGAAGAAAGGTTTGAAACCGCATGCCCTCCAATGCCACAGCCCTACACCAATTTAGTTTCTCCATCACTATTGCTCCCCAACTCCTTTCTTGAGATAACAGATTGGAATATCCAGATACATATTTCCACATCCCATCTAGTTTGGTCTTAAGTGATAAGTGAGCACAGTATCCAAGACTATTAAGTAATGCCTTTACAGTTTACATGTATGTAAGTTAAGAAAGGATTTTCAATTCACCAATGCCATGCTTTCTGGAAGAGAAGCGAATTTATAAGAACGTCAACTCTTTTCTTAAAATGAAAGATTTGTTTGTTTTAAAGATACTGAGCTGCAAGCCAGGAAGTTCCCAATTTGAATCTCAACCCTGCCCTGAACTCACTATGTGGCCTTTGGCAAGCTACTCTCTCCCAAACTTAGTCTGCAATATAGGAGATAACAATACTGTCTTGTCTTACAGGGCTGTTATAAGGATTACAACTAGATAATGCGTGTGAAGTGCTTTGAGCACTTGACAGCTGTACACAAATGTTAAGTATTTATTAAGTACTGCTTGCTACAATAAAATAGAGGACATGTAATGTTTATATTAAAAAAACAAAATACTTTGAGGATTCCCATGTTAAACAATATAAATCTTAAGAGCTGTGAAGCCAAGCAGAGAAAATGTAATATCTTGAGTCAAAGCAGGATTCTCTAAACTGGACTGAAAATTAACCCACATTATTTATTACATTTCTGGGTTGCATTTTAGCCAGCAATTGGAACAACTGGTGGATATTAAAACAATGATGCTAAAACCCACATTGAGTAAAACAAAAACAGCTGGTCGACAAAGGCAGAGAAGAAAAACCAAAGAACATGATGGAAAAAACACCAACTTCTGCTAAGAGCAAATCGAACCCTGGATGATTCTCCAGAAGCCCACCTTAAACAGAAGCATGCAGCTACCATCTAAAGTCTGCTCGTTATTTTGTATAAAATCAATGTCAGAATATGCATCTTTAGATCAGGGCATCATCCTTTTTTACGCTTGTGGTGCTCTGGGGGGTGGGGGTGGGGGAGACGCTCCTTAAGATATTCAGGCCCCAGATCCTTTTGAGGTTTAAATATCTAAAAATGGCCAGAAACAAACTGGTAACGAATGAATATTTTTAAAAATAGATTTAATATATAGCCGCTTATACTCATCAATATGTGAACTAAAGCTATTAGCTGACTGGCATCAATACTCTGGAACACTGTTCCTGTTGAACTAAAGAGAGGCACCCACAGCTATGGTGTTCTGTCACCTGCTGAAAACATTTCTGTTTCACCAAGTGTTTTCCAGAGAATTAATCTGATTCAGTGTTGGTCATCTGTTGTGTATTTTATGTTTTTATATGTGCTGAAAGCTGCCCAGAGTGACTGATGAGTGGGGTATAAATAATAAAATAACAATACCAATAACTTAATCTTATGTTTTGATTATTTTATATGCCCTATCATATTCACATGACTTGTTAGTTTGTACTTTCATATATAAAAGGGTAGTTATATTTTGGTCAGGTGAAGTCTCTGGCCCAACGAAACTTATTCCCATATTCCCTAAGCAGCCTTGCATCAACATTATATTAAAACTATCATGTATAATAATTGAAAAATCAAAAAGACACAACAAAGGAATGAGGAGTCCTTATAACACAGACAGCATAAATTTACAGCCCAGATTTAGTACACAATTTAAAAGTTTCATAAACCACAAAGACAATGCAACTCTAAATTGTGTAAGAGGTTATCAATGTAACTGACCGGTTTAAGAAAATATATACCGTACTTTTCTGTGTATGACTGTTCAAAATCTGGGCTCGTCTTATACACGGATAGTATCTCCCCCCATTTTCTTAAATTGGAGTCCCCCAAAATAGGAGGTATCTTATACATGGGGGCGTCTTATAGACGGAAAAATTGGGTACATACCAGTAGAAAAAATATATACAGTGGTACCTCGGTTTATGAACTTAACCCGTTCCGCAAGTCCGTTCTTAAACTGAAACCGTTCTTAAACCGGGGCGCACTTTCCCTTACGAGGCCTCCCGCCACCAGTGCCCTTCCACCGTTCAGATTCCACTCTTAGACCGAGGTAAAGTTCGCAAACCGGGACACTACAGTGGTGCCTCGGGTTAAGAACTTAATTCGTTCTGGAGGTCCGTTCTTAACCTGAAACTGTTCTTAACCTGAAGCACCACTTTAGCTAATGGGGCCTCCTGCTGCCGCTGCACGATTTCTGTTCTCATCCTGAAGCAAAGTTCTTAACCTGAGGTACTATTTCTGGGTTAGCGAAGTCTGTAACCTGAAGCGTCTGTAACCCGAGGTACCACTGTACTTCTGGTTTTGCGGAGTTCGTAAACCAAATATTTTGTAAACCGGACTGTTCTTAAACCAAGGTACCACTGTATATCAGTAGTATATAAGAACTTATGTGGAACAGGCTCGTGACATATGGAAAAGAGACTTGGACTGTCGCTTGCATATTGGTCTCCTTTGTCCCCGACTCCCCTGCAACAGATATGAAGGGGGGCAAAAACACCTCGGCCTCACAGAGTTGGTGCGCCTGACGCAGGCAAGAGAAAGGTCAGATAAGTCACACCACACTGTCCATTGCTGACCCTACCCGAGTCAAATGGTGGCATTTTGTAAGGGGTGGTGGGAAATCAATTAAAAAACAATGAATGGTACTTCTGACAGGAAACAGGGATTATAGGAAATCCATGTTGCCCAACATCCTCCTAGTAATAGCAGCCTTTGATTTTTCAAGAGAAGAAGGGTTTTCAACTACCATAAGGACAAAAACAATAGCTGATCACAGTGACCCTCTGCTTCTAGTGCACAAGCACACACACATATTACTGAAAACATAAAAGCCTCATTTATACCACTGTATGTCAAAATGACCTTAGCTAAAACACTGGAAAAGGAAAAAATAATATTTGTCAGAATAACTAGACCTACAAATAAACATTTGCCTGGTTGCTTATGGGAAACAGGACATGCCTCTAAGCTAAAAAACAGTGAAGCTCTATAGTTCTGTCTTTCTCTCAGGCTCTCATGGCTAACTAGATATGTGTGGTCAGGCAGGAAGTTTCTTTCTTTTTTAAAAAAGCAGCACACACTCTCTTGCTCTTATAAGCAAGGCTGATAACTTATTATTTAATTCAAACCTTTTGGGTCAGCCCAGCCTTTTAGAATTAAAGACACAACACCAAAGCTCCACTCAATCATAGAAGTATAAATTCATTTCAAGTACCTCCAGTGATCACAAGTACTCTTGCAATTCACTGACAAAGGAAATCCCCAAAGGTGGTAGTAGGAACTTAAAATGCAATAGCTTTTATATAGAATACTCCCTTTAAGTGCATAAGCAGAGACAACTTATCCGAACCACTGGCATAAAACTCAACATTCCCCATTTCTATGCAAGACTAATTTGATCTTGTTCCATTTTCACCCTATGTAGGTATTGATAAAGAGGTAATCATCTCTGGGGTGTGGAAGTATCTTGCCACTTAACAGTCTGGCAAGTAGATGCATTATTTGGAATTCTTAGGTATAAAATGTTATGCTTCACCAATTGTCAGGTGTTGGGAAATATGTTATCCTTTGTCAATAAATAAGAAGAGAGAACATAGGAAGAATTCTGTAAATCTAAATGACAAAGTTATTAGAATTGACAGTTATGACCTTTAGAATCTAGCAGAATTGGAAATGGTTGTTTGCAATTGTTTACATTTCAATATCATATTACAATACATGACACATGATCATCTCCCCTGTCTTAAAACATCAGGCCTATTTTCCCAATTAATGGGCAATACGAAGTCCTGGGGAAATCTAGCCATGCAAAGTTATTTGTTTTACTTTCATTTTATTATTTTTACTAGGATCAAGAGATAAATTCTGCTCCCAAAGTACTCTTATTTCAGTAACATTAACATACAACTTTTTAGCTGACTGGCTTTAGAGTATTCACATATGATATGTAGGTCAAATCAAAAGTGAATAAAACCCCCAAATGTATTAGTTATACCAATTTAAATTTATTTTAACTTTATTGATAATTTTTCACTGGGGAGACTTGAAACTTATGGTTAAAATACACTTGAAACCAATTAGGAACCATATGACTGCATTCTAGTATAAAGAATAAAAAGCATTTGACAGTTTTAAGATTAAGCCACAACCATTCAGTTTAAAACAGCAATGTTTTTACCTTATTTTTAAAGGTTGTGTATATCTTAAAGAAAAGCGTAATGCGGGGAACGACACAATGCTTTCTTAAAACACAGTGATACCCAGGGACTTTCACTCTCCCTTTAATGATCCGCTGCTCTCATTCAGCTGTCTCTTTTTTTTTTTTCAAATCTTTACATATGTGACAGCTCTGAAAAGTAGACCATAGACCATCTGGCATTTTCAGAGGTGTAACTTGTGCAAATTCAGCTCTACTGGGAACACAATGCTATCTCCTGCCTGCGTTATAAAAGATACAATAGAATGTAGAACTT